AAAATGATTAATAGTCTGGAAACTTACACCAAAAAAAACGGGATCAAGGTGATCGACAAGAAAACCAACGTGATGATAAGGAAAGGAGGCAGATTCGGAAATGGAACTTGACTTACACTACTGAAAAGAAAAGATAGAGATGACAAATAAATACAAATTCTTAAGTTTCGGATTTACCGCGAAAGGAGGATATGGAAGACACATTAAAAAGATGCACCAAAAGGCTCAGAACGTGCTAAATACCACATGAGGGCTAATGGAAAGGGCGAGATTGAACTCACTAGAGAGAAGATAGCAATTGGGAAAGCTGGTTATCTATACTGGGCGGAGGTCAGGAAATGGGTATGGTAAAAAGAAATGGAAAGGGTATAGGGAAAAGTAGCAAAAATGGCTATTGATTTCAATAAGAAGACGCGTGCAAAATATATGTGGAAAATGGAAGCGAGGATTGAATGTTTAAATCTAGAAACGTTAAAGAGGACTTCAAGATACGTGGGTGAAATCATTGACATGGAATATTATAAACCATCTAAGATATATTTAAAAGAATTATTAAGTCGATAAGAAATGACAAACTTCTGGAACAGATGAAAAGAGGGATAGACAGGGAAACATTAATTAATTAATTAATAAAAATGTATATAAATATTTTTTTCTACTATATTTATCATTGAAAATAAAAAGGAATTCATTGGGTTTTTTTTTATATTAATCATTTGTATGCGCTCAGTTATAACGTATCCGGGTAAAATAAATAAATTTTTGAAAACAATAATTACTCATAAAACGTGAAAAATTCTAAGTGTTGATATAAAACCTAGCTTTAAATTACTATACAATAATTAATAGCATTTACATCTGAGGGTAGTATTCTGAAATCGGGAATGACGTTTCATTCGAATTGTAGTGTTAAGCTGGCTTTCTACCCAAATGTCAATCAAAAAATAAACTATTTGTATCCAAAAGAAAGTTTTTCTAGCGTTTGAGAAATGAAGAAATACATAAAGAAATATCTAAAACAACTTCATTCAAACAACGAATGATCAAAAAGATATAATTTTATTACACGTAAATATATTAGAAATTATTTTAGATTTTTTACGAATCTTGTTTAGTCTGAAATTGCTATCTTTATTTTTTTAAATCCTTATAATGTATTAAACATATTCATACGCTTTACTTAAATTTAAAATAATAGAAGGTCAAATATAATCTCAGAATAAAACTGTTATTTTTTTAAAAGTATTTATTAATGAAATAACATTTAATATACTTTATTACTCGATATACAACTGATGTTTTTAAAATGTAGTTCAGTGTTTTTTTTAGTTTCCACTTATAGATACTAAGATTTTTCTGGATGACGTAAATAATTATTCGGTCTGCATGATACAATTGGCCTCGTATAATATTCAGAAAATAAGTACGAATATAAATAGGACTGACCCTCTGATAGATGGCCATCGAATATACAAATTGTCATTTTTAGGCGGAGTCTCATAAAAATATTTATTTAAAAGATAAAGATGAACTGTATTTAACATCAATAATCTAATGGTTAGGATAAAATAAATGGAAATTATTAATACTATTTAACAAATAAACTACCAGGCCCACTTGCATCCTTCCTCTTCCGCACTCGCATACTTGCACACTACGATACGGCTTAATCGCACATTATTATTATGCGTTGTCTAATAGAAAAAGACGTAATTTATTCGTCAAAAAAGTGAATAATAGAGTTTTAAAAGCAAAGTGTTTCAATAGCTGGAGCATGTGATTCAATATTATTGTTAATCCAATACATATATTTTATTATCTACGGTCAATTTGTTGTATTGAATAAATAAAAGGATTTATTATAAAAATGTAATAGGAAATTTAGTAATGAAGAGGGAATGTATAACTTTCAGAGTGAGCGTAATACAACTAGATTGGACAAAAATAGAAAAATATTTTGATCAATGAGTACTGATTCTGAACATCACGTGAAGCTTTCGCATTATACCGCGGTAAAATTTTATTACTCTAAGTATTTCTAGGATAAAAACATGATTTACAAATATTACGGTATTCTTGAAAAGTTATAAATTGATTAGAAATTGAGACATTTGGTGAATCGAAATAAATATTTTTCCTTTCAATTCAAAAAAGTTGTTAAATACATGTTTCTTCTCTTCAAGTAAAGGTTAATAAAATTTAGCTGTTCTAATGCGAACAAAGATATGCATAAGACAAGTTACTCATTGAGTCATGCATAACGTAAACACAACGATAATTGGGAGCAAGACAATTATGTATCTCTTACAAAGTAAAAGCTATTAAAAAAATAAGACCGTTGCCTAATATGCTCAAGCTATTAGCAAACGATATTTTTATATCTTAAAAATAATTTGTTGTTATGAATTCATATATGTTATAATTTAGTTGATTGTTGGTTTATAATTAATATAATCTATACATGTTTTCTGAGTTATTCAATTGGTAATAACGATCGAAAGCAGTAATTGGAGGACTTGAACGCAAAAAATGTTATGAAGCAATATCAGAAAAAACGAGTGCTTACTCGATTGGAAATTTCAAGAGTAGGACTGAATTGGAGACGGGCAGACGTTCTGATCTTCTTCAGCGGTGATGAAAATATGTTCAGAAAGGCATTAAAATGTCGTGAACATCGACTGATCTAAGCCGCGCACTTGGACTAATGAGAATAGTGGCACACGCGATAGATAGACGAAAAGAAACTGAAAGCAAGCCTTGATCTAGCAAGTAGCATACCTGAACGCATAGAGGCCTTCGTGCCTCCTTCGCCCCACCGCTTACTCTTTAGTGAGCTTAGGCGTTAGTGTATCAAGGCCGCTCGTACGCGCACTTACGTCCACACAGCTTTATACTTACACTTCCAAACTCTCGCTCTCTCTCTCTCTCTCTCTCTCTACCTCTTGTCTGTCTCACAGTTCTTATCTTCTTTTACCACTTTTCCAAGTTTTCGTTACTTTTCTTAATTAACTACAAATATTTCGAATTTTTCATGCTAGTTTCACACGGACTACTTTATCAACAAATAGTATAGACTATTTATAACTCATAGCTTTTCAATTTAGTTTTTAAATATGAACGCCAAATAATAAATATATTATTTACTTATTTCCACCTACTTTTTCAACAATTATATATTCAATCAAAAATAAACATCAATGTATTCGCACAGAGTCACGTATCAGCATACAAATACTTTATCAAAAATAAGTAAATTTAAGTTGCACCTAATTTCTTAAGGTTCTTAAAGATCTTCGAGGTCTTACTCTTTGTGATTTTTTTTTAAAGAAGCTCATCGCAATAGATGAAAATAGTACTCAAGATTATCTCTACTAACTTCTACAAGAAGCAAAATCACAAACGATATTCAAAACACGTTAAAAATAATCTTCGTTTTGAGTGGAAAACTCAGGGATCGTATTTTATTTTATCTACTTATATATATGTCGACAGTCTCTAGCTATAAAGTAATTTCGGAAAACTTATTCAATAAATGTTTATCGTGAACGAGTTGATTTGGTGAAAATATGGCTCTTTCTGTTGGCGTATCAGATAGGTCAAATTATGCGAGTAGGTATAGCATAGAGTTAATTTTTTTACAAATAATACAAGTGCACGTACTCTTGATAATAACGTTTCGATGAATTCGCGTAAAAAGTGTAATCAACCAGAATCGCAGAGAAAAGTCGTAAAGGAAAAAGCAGGTAAACTCAAGTGCTTATTCATGTTAAAGGTCATTTACTGTGCGTAATCATACAAACATCGTAATTCGCGTAGGAAATTATTAGAACCGACGGCTGTCTAATTAATAAACAACGCACTTTTATACTTTCATGGCCATTTTCGTCTTTTATTTTTCACTTTTGTTCTTCAGATCGAATTGTGTAAGAATATTGTTGTATAGCAATCGGTACGACATGTATTTGTCATTGAATGTTTCAAATGAATTTATTACCTTTTTGTAAACAGATTCTTTTTTTTTCTTACTATTTGTTGAACAATATCAAACATTTTTTATAAATACTACGGAATTCCATAGCTTCATGTAATTATAACTAATTTTATCGAAGTAAATTTTTAAGAGAATACATTCAAAAATAGATCTTTTATTATATTTTTTAGACGTTTAGATATCTTAAATTTCGATGCCCTTTATTTAAAATGTATCATTCTGGACGAAATAATCAGATTTAAGAACCATATTTGCTATCAATTTTAAAATAGAAATAAAATTTAGATATAATATGTTTAGGTTATAAATGTTATGTTGAATAAATGTTTGAAAAATGGTAGAATAGTTTTACAATCCAGGGATAAAATAATTGACCAGAATAAAATGGTAAGTATCATTAGCAGAAGAATATTAATGTAGTATGTGAAAAGGTCGAGATGGATGGTAGAACAAACTAAAAAATGTTAAATTAAAAATGTTTTTATTTTATTTTCAGAGAGAAAATTCTTAATTTAGGAAATGCTCATGTAAATATGCGGCAAATTTAAGAACCTCTTTTTGTAATGTGATTTACAGAGTTTTTCTAGAGATGAGCAATCAACAAAAATTTCATATTTGTAGCGTATAATAATTAACAATGCAAAAGTAGACGCACAACATACATTGCAAATTTACGCGAGTTTCATTTCCCAAGTTCTGCAAACGTGTCTGAATTAGCTTTTGAATATACATAGTCTTTTTAATAATTCTTATAGTCGTATGCACACCGAACCGTTAAAATATTCAGATGTGTAGTTTCTCTTTTATTACTTCATTAATTTTTCAGTAATAATCATAAAAATAATCGAAAAATTATTGATGATTTTGACAACTAGTTTGACTGCTGTAGTTGTGTATTTGTAAAAGAATATGTATTAAATTATCAACGAATAATATAGACATAGATTAGTTAGGTTACTAAAATAAAAAAAAATACTTAATATAATTGTATCTTGAAATAATTCTTCAGAGGAAAACGAATATTTGAATGTGCGCCTCGATTTACATATGAAGTTTAAACTTCTCTTAGAATTTTTTCAAAACGCTATATTATACTTGAATTCTCCGTACTGAATTCGCAAGAGTCTAATTTGCATCGAAAGATCTGAAGCTCACTCGCCGTATCGTTCGGATACGGGGTAGCATCACTCGTGAAGACCAGCTACAGCACGTTCGAGACACGAACGTAGAAATACAAGTGCCAGCGCTTGACAATTATACGAGCGTCGCAGCAATTCTCTTGGCATACGTACGTCGATGCACGTAGAGAGGCGTTGCTTCGGAGAAAGGTGCTAGGCGCAAGAGCGTCGGACTAGAGCGAGTCGCCTTTGCCGTGACGGGTCGGTCTGCGACTTTCACCGGCACACAGCCGATCGGCATCAAGCAGCAAATTCGGAAAATGGCCAGTGTGCGTCGGTCGCGAGGAAAGCCGCGAAAGCAGGCGCAGTCAGCTAGCACACGTATGGTAGTTTGCGCTCGGCCAAGGTCCTTCGCGCGCGATGCCAGCGTTCGCAGGTCCTCTCAAGCGTGCAGCGCGTCTTCTCGGTCGAGACTATATTTACGCGCAAAGACGAGTAACAGGTCGCCAGTTACTCGAGGCACCTGCTCGCGAGCGCCGCGAGGCTGTCTTGCATTACGCAACCGACTAGCCGCCGCGGTCGTTTCCAAGACCGAGCCCGCCTCTCCGCGCGTCACTCTCGCACTCGCACTCGGCGTTTTATTGCACCTGCCAGCGGCAGCGCGCGCTCTCCGCCCAAAGTGCATTCCAAGTGACACTCGGCACTTCCGGACAACAAAGATGCAGTCGTTCGCGCGCTTGCTGCTCGCAATTGGCTTGGTTTGCGCTGCGTCTGCCGGCCCCGTCGAGGACGGATCGGCGCACGCAAGCAGCGACCGCACGCTCTTCATCAGAAGCCTGCCCGGCTATCCCGGCAGCAGGAGCAACGTTTATGAGGTTTACATGGAACCTTATCTTTTTGTGAGCACTCATTTTCAAATACCCAATTTTTTTCATTAATTTTTTCATTCCTTTAGACCTATATTATTTTTTAGTAAATATCTGATTTTTTCATATTTTTGTACCTCGGCACTCAGTAGTTTGTAGTTATTAAAAATCAAGCGACAAACAATCAATTTTTAGTACCATGAAATAATAAAATGTAACGTTAACGATGTACTTTTTTTAGTGGAAAACAGGGAATGATTGTTTTTGGTAAAGTATCGCATGAACATATTGATCTTACATGATCTTCAATACCACAAGACAATTGATTTGTCTCTCTCTCAAAAAAAAAAAAAAAAAAAATAGTCTGTTACATCGCCGGAACTAATTGATCTTTTACGACCCTAAAATTATAGGCAATAGGTCTAAAAGCCACGGTAGAATTGAGAGCTCTTGGTGAGGACGGGAATCCCGTAGAAGGGCCAAGGGGACTCCTTACTCTTGAACAACACCCGAATGGAGTGAGAATATACGGAACAATAACGGGTCTCGCCAAAGGTCTTCATGGTTTCCATGTACACGAAAAGGGAGATTTATCTAAAGGCTGTGGCTCGGCTGGACCTCACTTCAACCCTTATTTGGCACGTTTCACATATATTGACTTACATAAATAAGCACTAAGATATCTATCGATTAAAATATCAAGTATTATGTGTATCAGTGATATGTATCACTGATTTAATTGGCTCATGTTCAGAAGCATATTCGTTAAAAGACAAATTAGAAAATGACGCATACGAATAATATCGGAGGAATATAACGATGTTGCAGGTAAATCACGGCGCTCCAAATGATCCTTTGCGTCACGTCGGCGATTTAGGCAACATCGAGGCAGGCGAGGATGGAGTGGCTCAAATAGACGGTGTCGATCATTACTTGACACTGACCGGTGTCCGTGGTGCTATAGGCAGGGCCATTGTTGTGCACGAGAAACAGGACGACCTCGGTCGCGGCGGTACCGAGGAAAGCGCCAAAACTGGATCGGCTGGAGCTCGTCTTGCTTGCGGCGTTGTTGGCTTCATTTAGCTCTCGCTCTCGCTCTTTACTCTCCCTTGATACCCTCTCCAACTCGGACATTTTTTTTATCAGTCACCTACAGCGCAACCTTCCCAACGTTTCCACTTTATTTTATGCAGATAGTTGTAGCCAGATAAAAATAACTATACACGTTGCTCATCGCTTTAGACAAACTGCCAATTTAATAGCCAGATACTTCCTTGTTGACATCATTTACCAATTCAATCAACGTGCTTTCATTTTTTTATGTGTTCATTCGTCAATGCTGTGCTGTTAATATTTTTAGATTTATTTTTGTAAAATCGTTTTTGAACGGTAGCGAGGACAAAATAAAGTATTTCCATGAAAATGTCTAAAGCTATCAATGTTTTTAATACATTTTTTTATCCACGCACGCATAAAATCGCGGAAAATCTGAAAATGGTTTATTTTATAGTCAGGGCACGTACAATAAAGGTAAGCCGATAGCCATAGGTTATCAAAGTCGAATAACGTTTTAGTAAGCTTGTGAGCGAGTAGTGATGATAACAGCAACCTCTGCAAACGTCGCGATTAGTCAAGCTTCTGATAAATGATTAATAACTTTGCGTGAATGCATTTAACGTTTAACGAACAATAAAAACACTTGAATTTTAAAAGTAAGTTTGCTTAGACGTTTTATTGTTCAGTTGCTCTGCGCATTTTGCTCTTTTTTTGGCAATCGACTGGTGTCGTAATTGCGTTTTATTCACAGCAGCGCGGCATTAGGCTTACTTTCAGGGGAAAATGTGCCAAACCGTCGCGGCAAGTATATTCCAAGCTGGGCAGGTTGTACGCGAGTGCAAGTAAGCTCTTTCACCTTGACTAACAGTCAACATGGCTTGAATCGATATAGCGATGACGACTACTGTGGATATTGCAGGTGGTCGCGCCACTTTAGTTCGGACAGTGCGCTACTTTGTTGAATCGCCGCTGCACGCGAACGAGGGCCCCGGGGAAGAGCTGGAACGTTAGAACGAAGTGCGAACCTCGAGGGGCGAGGGGCGCACGGGCGAGGAGACTAGTGGGCCAGCGGCTGCTGGTCAATGAATCCGGAGGCCGGGTCGTAGAGGCAGAGCAGGCGGCAGGCGCTGACGCGGTCGTCGGTGGAGCGGGCCCGGCGAGCGAGCGGCTGGGGCGCGCTGAGCTCGAGGACGGCGAGTCGCAGGCGCCGGACGGTTTCGGGCGAGGAGGCGCGCCGCGTGCAGGGCGCGTCCGGGCGATGGCGCGGCGGCGCAGCCGTGCCCGTGCCCGCCGTCGCCACCGCCACCGCAGCTAGGTAGTACGGCATGTGCAGTCCGAGGTGCGCTGCGGGGGCATTGAACCGTCGGCATTAAATAACGATCGCTGCGCTGCCCGCTGCCCGCTGCCCGCTGCCCGCTGCCCGCTCCCTCCAGCTCTCTCGCCCGCCGCGCGTCGCCCCCGACGCTGCGCTCTCCCCGCGTACGTGGCTCTGCGTACACAGCTGCATGTACGTGAATACCCCTCCCCCGCGGACCGCTGGCTATAGGCAGGATCTAGAGCAGCCCGGTTGACCTATCGATCGTCCCCCGACATCGCAATAACAAAGGAAACCGATCGCTAATGCGTCGCCCGCCCGACTCTCTCTCCCTCTCCTCACTCGTCATTGTCAGCGTACCGCGATGACGTTCTCATTATTTATCGTTGCAACGCTGTACCGATTTCCTTTAGTTTCGATTGGGCAACAATTCTTTCAAATGTTCGTGATTTTCTCGGCTCGCGAGCGAACGATCGGCAAATCTACGTGTGCCAACTTGCTTTGCGTCCCTAATCGGTATGATTGGAGTGCAATTTAACATTGCATGCGCCTTCTTCTGCACTTCAGATTTTTATTCTTTTAGCCGTCAACTATTGGACAAATAAACTGCTCGGTTTCCTTTGTCACGGTCTGCACTGGCCATCAAACCTCGCGATACCAAATGACAAAAAGATTGCATCGAAAAAATTCATTGATTAGACCGTTTACAAATAATTTGCTATTAATTTTACACTCGTTCGCAAGTTGCCAATCTATGCCAGAGCTTTCATGTTTAATCCGGTTAAATATCTGTGTATCTATCAACTGGTCCCAAATATCGTCAGCCATATAACTACGTTTCATTTATTTAATAGACTTGATCGAACCTGGAACTTGATCGGCATCTTCCACTAAATTTTCTAAAATGTAAGCCAAGTCAACATCGAAATTGGAGTTGTTTCGTCTGCATCTTGAAAATAACACAAAGCAGTTTGTTGCCGCTTGTTTGATCTTTCGCCACATAATAAGTAGCACACATCTTGGAATAAATTTTTTTTACGTTTCAATATTTTTTTAACTTTTTTTCATATTTTTATCATTCGGTCAGTTATTGTTACTGAGACATCGCCGACAATTTTAGGTTAATCGTCTAATCGTCTAGTTTGTTTTTGTTGATTAAAATGCATTCAATTATTTGTACTACATATCCATTCGAAATTCGATCGATGACTATATAGCCTTTACGATAATCAAACTACATTTTTTGATCTTTCAAGACTGACTAAATTATAATAACTTTACAAGAATCTTCTTTGACAAGCGTCCGCTAATCATTATTTATAGCCTCAATCGCAAGAAATCGCCAATTATGCCTCAAGAATCTCGCATAAAAGAAATCACTGTAATAATAGTCCTGATTCTGTTCACCATACACTTGCACGAATAAATTATACCTCAGAAAAATCCAAATTTTATATAATAATCGTCGTTTGAAAACAAACCTTTGTAGTCGCGAGTTGTGTTTATGTAGAGGCCAATTTTAAAAAAGAAGACTTTAAATTGTAGTGGCCAAATCTGCAACGATTAATGGTGGAAATAATATTTCGAGCAAGTTTCATTTTATTAAACCATTAACTTTGTCGTTGCGAAGAACTACAAGATTTTGACCATATTCTATGGCCATGTTGTTAGATAATAAAAGGTCCGATTTTATTTCAAGCCTCAAGACTGAAGTTGTTCCTTTCATCTTTCAGCACAGTTTGGCTAAGCAATAATAATGCCAAAATTACTCGATTTATATCTAAGTACCTTGACCCCTATAATTTAGCTATTTCAGTCTAAGTTGAAACCATCGTACATATGTCCTTTTATTCATATAGTTATGTATATATGTATATATATTTTTTCCCAGCAAATTAACTCTCTCTATAGATTAGCATTGATAAAATAAATTTAAAAATATACATTTTTAAATTATGTATACATCGCCAATTCAAATATTGTTAGGGATTTTTTTTGTGGCTCACTTGGAAACAAATAAATTATTTGATAGCATTGATTATATCTACCCCGTAATTTTATCATATAGTTTTACGCCGTTACAGTACGAATCTCACCACAAATCAAATAAAAAAACAAACTAAATTTAAAGTGGTCGAGAACTTACGCAGAAGTTCGAATAGATATATATTTGGACAAAATCATTTTAATAAGTTGTACAGTTATTTTCAAACCGCGTGCAACAGTGACCGTTTTATTTTACATTATAAACTTTATATTGGAATAACTCCATATTAATAATTATTATTTATAAAATATTAATACAAAATTTTACAGTTTTAGCTTTAAAAAATTCATTAAAAAAAGAAACTCACAGCGTCATCTTACATCAAACTTCAATACATTTTGTTCGAGACTGGAATCTCGCTCGGTAAAGTTGTTACCGACCTAGTCAAATATGCACAAATATGTTTTCCCGCCGATTGTTATTTGAGTGTCGTATAATTGGAATCGTGTTGATTAAAATTTACAACTGTTAGTTCGTTTTTAATATTACAAAACAAAATGGTTGAGACAGATGACGTTGAAATAATGGAAATTGATGAACCAACAAGTGAATCATCTAAATGTAATCAACAAAAATCTTTGAAATCCAATGTGCCTTGGTAAGATTAACAATTTAAGGTTAACTTTCAATATTTTTGAAAATGCTGTTATCAAATTTTCATTTTTTTGACAAAACAATACTTTAAATTCTTACAACTATTGTATTTATAACTTATTGGGCTTCTACACTGATTAAACTGACTTCAAAATATTTGGTAATGTTTTTTTGTTAATATAGATGCATCTTTCTTTTACTTAGGATAGAAAAATATCGTCCACAAACATTTAGTGATATTGTTGGAAATGAAGATACAGTACAGAGATTATCAGTATTTGCGAAACATGGCAATTGTCCAAATATAATTATTGCAGGCCCACCTGGTGTGGGTAAAACCACAACGATTCTTTGTTTCGCAAAAATTCTGTTAGGTCCATCATTTAAAGATGCTGTTTTAGAATTGAATGCTTCTAATGAAAGAGGTATTGATGTTGTTAGAAATAAAATCAAGATGTTTGCTCAAAAGAAGGTAAGTAAAATTATGTAAAAGATTTCTCACAAGCAAGGACTATGTTTATATTTTAATAATTATTATGTTGATCAAAAAGGTCAATTTACCAGCAGGAAAACATAAAATTATCATATTAGATGAAGCTGATAGTATGACAGATGGTGCACAACAGGCACTTCGTAGAACCATGGAAATATATAGCAGTACAACGAGATTTGCATTAGCTTGTAATAATAGTGAAAAAATTATTGAACCAATTCAATCTAGATGTGCTATGATTCGATATGGAAAACTTACAGATGCTGAAGTATTAGCAAAAGTGCTGGATATTTGTAAAAAAGAAAATGTAAACAGTTTTTCATATATTTTTAGGTAATGGATATATTTGCTTGTGTTCATTCATGTATATATTTTTTAGGTCTCTTATACAGATGATGGTTTGGAAGCTATTATATTTACATCTCAAGGTGATATGCGTCAAGCTCTCAATAATTTGCAGTCTACTGTTAATGGTTTCAATCATGTCAATAGTGAAAATGTTTTCAAAGTGTGTGATGAACCTCATCCATTACTTGTTCAAAATATGTTAGAGACATGCACCCAAGGTGATATTAGCAAAGCATATGGAGTAAGTATTAAGTGTACAATTCAAAGTTTCACTGTAGAAAGACGTTACTCTGTTTAATTGTATTGCTTTTTACAATATTCTAAATTCCTTTTAGATTCTAAAACATTTGTGGGATTTGGGTTACTCTCCTGAAGATATAATAATTAATATATTTAGAGTGGCAAAAAATTTAGACATTGACGAATCTTTAAAACTAGAATTTATTAAGGTACCTCTAATATAAACAATTTCTAATATTATATCATTATAAAAAAATAAATTCTATGTAAAATTTTTAGAGTATCGGCCTTACACACTTGGGAATGGTCAATGGAATAAGCAGTCTTTTACAATTGAACAGTCTTATCGCAAAATTATGTCGTATTGCATTGGATCGTAAGAAAACGTAGTGCGCGATACACATATAAGAAAGATAAAAAAGTTGTATATTTACAAATCGCAAACTTAAAACTAATCAATGCATAGATGAGATCGCTTCGTAATTTATACATTTATTTTGTAATCTTGTATGCTGAATTAAAAACGAGCATATTTTTCATACACTTGTTTAGTATTTAACTTGCATTTAAAACTTGTAAACGTTTTACTTTCATTATGAATGATAATATACGACATGTAATAAATGTAATATTCACAGTCGTTGAGTGTTTATTATCACTGTTCAAGTACAAAAAGTATGAACATTGATTTTTTCAACGATTCAAATTTGATCAAGTTTTATGAATTATTTATAATTATAGATTTCTAAATCAAGTTGTATTGCATCTTATTGCTTGCGAGCAAAATCTTTATTCATTTACAAAGCTAAGAGTTTGCAATTTTCATGCTCGAATAAAAAGTGCAGTATTTAGTTTTAAATAAAGGGTCAAGTTAACAGCTAGAATTGCAATTTGATGCGTGTAAATATATTGCAAAAATGAAATATCAAGATACTCCAAAGTATCGACGATAGTCGTTCCTTACGAGTAAGGTATACAACTAAAAGAAACGTAGATGGGTTTGCTTTTACCAAAATTGAGTGGAAGAAAAGGATGGCAAAGCTACTGGGTAGAAAATGCAGGCGAATGAGCGCGTAACATCGCCAGCAAGAAATCGATGTAGAGTCAAGTGCAGCGTTAGATGCAATCGATCGATAAACAAGAAAAACGCACAAAGCATTTGCAGTAAACGGAAATCCACAAGCAGTTTTGGACTAAACTGCCGTGGATTTTAACCGTCAGCACCACTTCTCGAGGGAAAATTGAGGGAGGTGAGAAGTTTTGGGCTTGGGCGAGGACCACCTGAGGGCGCTCTGGCAAGACTGGGCGCGGGATGGCGTCCTTGGCGGCGGCTGGGGCGCAGACTGCCGCTGCGCGGAGCTCGGCTCCGCGAAGTCAGCCGGCTCCTGGCAGTCGGCCGACGGCAGCGGCGGATCACCGCGGTAATTGCGCTTGGTCGGCTTCTTCGAGGGGCTGTAGGCGAGATCGTGGCTCGTCGACGAGCAGGAGACGGTGGGTGGCGCGCTCTCGACCGACTGCAGACTCGTGGCCCGGTGCAGCGACAGCCTCAGCGGCTTCTTCGGCGGCGCCGGCCGACTCCTGCCGCCGCCGTAGTCTGGCGCGCCGTAGGCCGTGAGCGAGGCCTCCGAGTGCTGCGACGCCCGCGACTGCGCGTCCTGCAACAGGCATGAACCAGCGTCAGCAGACGCGCCTCGGCAGCGGACGAGCGCGGCCCGCACCTGACGCCTGCAGTAGCTGGGCTCCGAGTCGAACTCGTGGCACTGCGCGAGTAGCTGCTGGGACTTGCGGGCCCGGTGGCGCGCCTGCTCGTCGGCCCGAGGCGCGCGTCGCCGCGGCGAGGCGCTCGAGGAAGGCCCGTAGCCCTGGTAGCCGGTGTCGCTCTGGCCGAGCTCCAGGCTGGCCGTGGACTTGGCCAGCTGCTGCTGCTGCTGCTGCTGCTGCTGCTGCTGGAGCCTGCCACGGCCCGGACGCAGCCCCTCCGCGGACGCTTTCGCGTGGGGCAGGCTCTGGCGCGCGTCCGCGGCCGGGCCCGAGCTCGACAGCAGCGCCGTGACCCGCGGCCCCTTCTGGAACACCTGTGTGGGCGAAGCGTGCGAATTGACGAGAGAGGCGCGGAGGGCGCCTCGCCGCGAGCATCTTTCGCTCTGCTTGCGCACCGCGCCGCCGGCAGATTGGACAGCTCTCGCTCTGGCGGAGCAGCGCGCCGTGCCTTTCTATCGGCAGCGAACAATGCCGGCAATCGTGCGCGCTGCTCTCGAGGTTCGAGCGGGAGCAATCAATCCGAGTGCGGGGGGATTAGGGCGAGACTGACTTGCAGCTGGTCCTGGCGGGGCGACGAGGCAGCTTCGAGGTCGGCCGACATCTCGGTCCTGGGCGCCAGCAGGTCGCGCACTTGCTCCTCGAGGTAGCCGATGCGGTGCGTGAGCCGGAGGTTGTCCGAGCGAAGGGTGCGCAGCGCGGCCAGAGAGTCGTTCCTGCGCAGCACGACCAGCTGGGCGGCGTCGGGAGCCACCGCGAGCAGCCGCGCCAGCTCGCTCCGTCCCGCGCCCACCACCAGCTTGCCGTTCACCTCCAGGAGCCTGCGAAGCGGGCTCGGACAGTCAGGCCGGGTCCTCCGAGTCGACCGAGGATGGGCAGGCGCCTCGGCGGGCCTGCACGCGAGCGGAATCAATGGAGCGCGAATCGGAGCCGCGGCTGCAATTAGCGAGGGCACCCGGCGGACGGGCTTCCGCTCCGTTCCCTCCTACGGGCAGCAGATATCCAGGGCCTGCGTGCGTGTCGTGTCCGCTTCACGCTACGCCGACGACGGGCGGGCCGCGAGGACGACTCGCGAGTCTTGGGAACGGAATGGCGATTAAGATCGCGCGCGGGCGAGGCAGTTGCGCAGCGGTCGTTCGCTTAGCGCGCGACGCGCCCATCTCCAATGCGTATTCGACCTCCGATTCTCGCTCGATGCACATCGCGACCGCCGAATAAGCACTCGATTTGTAAGCGGCCAATAAATAGAATACGATACTCTGATACTATATACCTGTCTCCTTTGCATAAGCCGGAATCTTCGACGGCCCAATCTATGTACAGACCGGCGGCGTTCTCTCGCGGTCCCGCGCCAAAGCGCGGACTTTTCGGATCGGCGCTAACTTCCAGCGCGTGCACGGTCAGCTGCGTCGATCCACTGATGCAACTAGAATAAAGCGGGCAAGGAAAAGCTCGCCAACTGATCGGATTTCGATTGGAGCTGCGCTCCATCGTACCTGAAAATCGTGTCGCTCTTTTGCTTCTCTTGAGTCTCGGCCAGTTCCAAAGCAGTTTGCAGAGTTCTGCTCTCTTCTTTCAAAGTTAGCATTTCTAGTTCCTCTCTTCCCAGTCTGTATTCGAGCTCTGCTTGCTGGATTCGTACGTCGATGTTACTGAAATGCAGGTTTCGTTGCCGTTGACATTATCGAGTGTCGGCCAATGCATACAGATCGAACGCAGTACGCGCAAACGCAAACGGGGGCACGAATATATTTTACATAAACAATGACGGCACACGGCAGAATCGGTTCGGTACTTAGCAAGTTGTACTGACTCGGTGATATCGAGACGCTGCAGCGCGAGCTTCAAGTTCTTTATTGTCAGTCTTTTGTTGTCGGCGTCCCGCTTCAACCTCTGAAGACGCTCCTCGCTGGCCTTCCTGTCTGCCTCCGTCAAGGGAGGGGGGGCTCCGTTGCGCAATGCCAGCCGACTGCTCAGTGTGTTGCACAGTTGGCCCTTCAAGCTGTCATAAATAGCAGCCACGGTGTCAATGTTAAGCGTCGTGCTCGCGGCAGCTTCGCGCGCGAGAGGGTGGCATATTTACGTTTGAATGATGTTCTCTTTGTCCCGCAGCGCGACTCGTAGAGAATCCAGTTCCTTGTAATGCTCGCGGCTGCGATGACTCGACGGGGTGATTAAGCCTCCGGAAAGGCTGCTACCTTTCTTTCGCCTTGGGCTCGCCGATAGAGACACTTCGATACTCGCCATCTGAAAGGAACATTGATCGAGTTCATTGGCTTTGCTTCTGGTAGTTGAACAAGAATGCGCCGCGAGTTGGACGTGGCATTAGTCGCGCCATCGATCTTCGGAATAGTTTGCTCGAGCCGCTTTACGGGCAGCTCGGAGATCCAGCTGACACAACGAGAAATAGCTTCTTCGTTAAACGCATTGCTCGGCGGACGGCGACAATGGAAACTCGAATGAGTCATAAAGCGCCGGAGCTCGGTGCTGGTACGAACGACGAGGTGCGGCGGCGCGGCAACGGAGGCGCATCTACGTCTGGCTCCTCGAGTGCGCTCGCAAGTACGCGCGGGAATTGGCAGCCGAAGACAGCGGGGGCGCGCGGCTTGACCTTGCGGCGCGCGTCCAGGAGCAAAGACCTCGAGAGCGAGCGCGGCCAGACAGTGTAGCCGCGCCCGAGCCTAGCTACCCGCGGACAATAATCGCAGCCTCCTCGCTGATAACTGTACGCGTGAGCATCTGCTCCGCCTGCCTTTCACTTGTTTTCCGCCGCCGCCGCCGCCGCCGCCGCAGCAGCCCGCTCGTTCGTGCTCGCCAGCGATCGTCGGCTGAGCAGATTGTCCGTGCAAATATATCGTGGCGCAGGTCGGCGAGCCGGCCCTCCTACTCGATTTTTATCCGCCGACAAGCCAATGGCGTAGCATCGGAGAGCGAGCGCGCGCGGCTTTCCGTCCGCCTGACCGACACTCGGCGCCCATTTAGCAAGCCCTGTCATTATGGCGTTCGTCTTGGAGCTTACGTCGAGATACCTTTCGTTCTAGAGCATGATCGATACAGCTGTGCGGCGTCAAAGTGCCACTTGTAAGCGGCAAATTGGATGTTTTATCAGCTGAACTAGCGGACTGTCCGCAGACTTGGCTCGGCGGCAAACGATAAAACGAAAACGATGCGGATGAACGTCGCGCAAGCTCCGCGCAAGCTCCGCGTCGGGCCGAGCCAGCTCGCTCGCGGCACCCACGTGCTCCGCGGCAGCACCACATCGCCTCTCAGATTTACGCTTGGAGGTGCATACGATTCGCTTGAGCAGCGCGATCGAGGTGTTACCCGCTGCACGCCTCTGGTCGCCGTTGCTCCGAGTCCAACGCTCCGTCGACCACGCGATCCTGTTATTCCGCCTGCGTGGATTCACCTTTCCGCTGCAGCCGGATTTTCCGTCGCGTCAAGCTTTCGTTAACCGACTACGCCCAGTCGCAACAACTCTTTTTAGCGTCTGTTATATTCCAGAGACGTTGCCAACTGCAAATTGTGTATTTAATGTTTTGTTAGATGAACCAAATTCACGCAGAGTGAGAATAGCAGCAATGCGATCGATACAAATAATAATCTCGTGCAATGCACTACATCAAAATTCGATATCGATAAAACTTTGTCGACTGGATGTTCTTTTATAAAGCTGACGATCGTATCTGTATAATAGACGTGATAAATAACGTTGATTTATATGGAACGCGTGAGCCGACTGCAGCGGAGTCGTTTGAAAGTTTTTTCGCGTTCCGTGTCGCGAGGAAGTATGGACGGTTACGTGTGGATTCGAATTTGTCAGAGTTGCTCCTTTCGACCTCCCCCTGCTGTCAGATTGGTCCCCTCTAGGCCCGTTCTTTGTCTCACTTTTCTCACGCTTCACGATTGATTTCGTTTGATGAAAAGCTGTTTTACCACTTTGACTTTATTAATGATCCAGTGTTCGCCTGCCTATTTCGTGACTGCGACTTGCTAACATATATCATTCGTTCGGTCTTCCCTTTGGCTCCACGTCAAGAAAATTTGAACGAAATAGCAACAAAAACAAAGTCGAATGCATTGTACTCGCAAGATTATTCGAGCTTGATCTGTTTTGCAACGAACGCCGTTTTCAAAGTACAAGAGCTATTGCAGAGAGTGAATTGCGAATAAGAATTGGTAACCGAGTCGTGAAGAAATAGACAAATGCACGAGTAAAGTGGTGTTTTTGAAATCTCAATGTCACGTATGAAGGCGACACCCTTGGCAGATAACTCGAGGTCGCTGTTTTTACGCATAACGCTCGCATTTGAATAGCGCTTTATCTTTAAGATAATGGTATTTGCGTTTGCTCCTCTGCCTTGGTCGTCTCTTTCATAAGTTATCCATTTTTTTTCTTGTTCCCCGGGGACCGTTCCGCGGAGCTTTTCCCCATTGGCTTTGACGCTGCGTACGCAAACAGAATGGATTTCTGATAAACGATTGTCAATCGGCTTCCAAAGGAGAAAATGAGCGATCGGAGGAACGGGGAGGTCGCGATGATCGAGCGAGGGCGTCGATTGAAAGCTCTCTCGGCTAATTGAGCTAGCCAGTCCGCAGTGACTGCTCGAATAATTGCCGCGAGAGAGCAGCCGTTTTTATTGCCGAGGGGCGGAGGAGTGGGAAGCCCGCACGCGCTGTTACGGAGCGCGCGCGCCTTTTCGTCGCTCGCTCGACTGGCGCTGTCGTCCGATAAACAGCTGCAATTCATCTGGCTCGCCTGGCTACGGCTTCGGCCGGTGCGGCGAGCGCGACTCTCCGCCGCAAATCGCATTAAAGCGCACGCCTAAGCCGGCGTTCGATTTTCAAGCTCGGCCGCGACGCGCCGCCTACGCCTACGCCTCGCCGTAGCAGCGGAACTCGAGCGTCTAATCATCGAGCAACTTAGAAGTGGCGAGGAGCGAGAGCCGCTTTATAGGGAATCGATATCGAATAGGAAGCGCGCGAGGGAAAAACCGACGGTGAAGTATAAATTGAAGGAAAAATAAGGCAGCACAGAGATTGGCAGAGTGTAAGCATGGAGGGGTGTCTGGGTGGAACGGGAGACGGCACAGGGAGGAAGCGAGGGAGAGCCTGGCTAGTCGAGGCGAGCGCGCAGGCTGAAAGCCAGGCAAGAGGAGCTCTTGTTATCGTGGATCTTATCGGGCGCGGAGAATCCCTCTCTGTCTGCCTGTTGGCACAGCCCACCAGGGACCTGGCGGCACTAACGATCCTCCGGCCGAGGAGGACCTTTTTGCCGCTTTCGCTCGCTCGCTCGCTCGCGCCACACCTCGCCGCCGCGTACGTGCGCTACGTGGTCGTTGCCATCCTCCTACTCTCCGTCTCATTCTCCGTGCCCCTCCTCGTGGCCCCGTCTCCTCGGCATTGGCGCATGACGCGCGAGCGAGGAGCCCGTCTTCTCGCTGGCGCTGGTGCACGGGCAGCGGCGCGTCGCCGGCGCTGTTTACCTCAGCGGGGCGTCCAGAGCAAAAGTGAATCTTGGCTTGGGTTGCGCGGTAATCCGAGCGGGCGCCGAAGGGGGATAATAGCCTAATGGATCCATGTCCGAAACGCGATCCCCTCGCATCTCGCTCGCCGGCTGCATGTGCGCGGCCCACTTTGTCCGGAGTCAGCGCGTTCGCTGCCCCGGGCTGCTCGGGCGCTTAAAGGAGCGCGCCCCCAAGGCCGCCGACTCGGTCGCTCGGCGACGCGCGCGCTATCGCTCCGCGACAGCCCCCTCGGCCGCCGCGGCTGCAGCATTGTCTATCGCTATCGCTATCGGCAAGCCTTTCGTCCCGAAATCCGAGGCGCCTTTTGTCCGCGCGCCGCCACGAACAATCGCCTCGTATCTGCAGACGTCGCGCGGAAAGAGCGAGGAGAGGCTGGGCGCACATCTGCGCGCATAAATCAGCGAGTGGTCGGGCGCCCGCTCGCGGACATGCTCCGCCGGCGTACAATAGACCATGCCTCGCCTCGGCATTAGCATCAGCGCCGAGCCGACGGATTAAATGTGCGCTCGACGTCGCGTTACGTGAAATCCGCAATGAAAGCTGCATTACCCCGGGGCTCGGCTCGCTCGAGGAAGCGCGAGCGCGCGTCGTTTATCGAATCGCGCTCCAGCGAGAGACGGCGCGCCCTCGAGCTTTTGTCCAAATCCAGAGTTGAGTGTACTCGCGGAAAACAGTTTGCAATGCACTTGCCTTAGCTTCCAAACTTTCCAACTGAGCCATTCTAGATGCGGAGTGCTGCTGCGCAGAGCTGACGCTGGCGTGCAGGGCCGTCTGAAACATAATGACATGTACGAGTAAACATCGTCAGCCGAGAACAGTCCGTTGCGAGGCCGAACGAAGAGACGATGGAATTTTCGACTATTAAAGTTCGGCCAATTGAGATATTTCAGTGGCCGAGGAAACGGCCGAACGCGTTAGCGATAGGTTGCTCGCTGCACGAGCTTTGTCCGCGGGCGAACGAGGCACTTTACGAGTCAAATAAGTTGAGACAAATTTGCCGAGCTGGAGCTAAGTATAGAGCAGAGTTGCCAATCTCTGTGGAGAGTCGTTGCCGAGCGACTAATTGGCCGCTGGTCGTTAAACGCGTCGCGAGCACGCGTGTTCCAGCAAAACGAACCCAAGCCCACAGCCCGGCGATATTTATTGGGCCGCTGAGGATGCGAGCGCTCCCCTCGCCTCCTCGTCCGCCGGCAGTTACATGCCTGCCCTCCCCGTTCTCCGTTGTGCGTGCTGCGCGCTGCCCCAGTCAAACTTCCGACAACTCCAAATAATCACGTAGCGCGCTCCTCGCCGCGCCTACCCTCGACATCTTGCACGGAATTTCGCGAGCGCTGATCGTTTAAGCGTTCAAATGCTACGTGCCATCGGTCCAACTCAGTTCGTTTTTCATCCGCGCGAGTCGTCGCTGTGAAACTCAACCGCGAAGAAAAGTCTTGGCCGCGTTCGCGTCTCTAATGAAATCTAGTTCCGCCAGATCTTTCTCACCCTCCACCTCCTTTCCCATTGTTTTGCCGCTCGTGGGACATTCTTAATTGCCGTACCCGCGCTAACAACGGTTAGCCGATCCACGCAAGGGCGCTACGTTGGCGCGCAATATTACACCCACTTCTTTTCTAAGCCTACTATATACGTGCAGCGTATACGACATGCGCAATCTAACCTTACGTCAGGTTAATTTTATCGCGGGCACTCATTCTCCGGCCCCACTCCTTCCCGCACTAGTTCGATCATTTTTCAAAAGAAAAGAGCCAACCATAGCGCTTCCAACAATGGACGATCTCCGACGGAATATGATTGACGCGAGGTCCTTGACGTCACATGTCCATCCAGACATTCACGCATATTACATATAAATTAGGTACAACGACCTCGATCATTCGCATATCCCATTGATTCCAAAGAGAAGATAATGAAAAAAGGAGCAAAGGGTTTTATCTGCGAGAAACATTTGACGTTACACCGAATCCGAGTTAATTCGTTCGGTGACCCTCATTTTCTCGGTGACGAAGACAAACGAGGTTCATTCTACGTCGTACGAGATTCTTTTGCGACCCCGCATAAAGGATGGAGCTCGTGGATGTAACCGGTGGAAAAATACAGAATCAAGCATCGGATATCTTGAATGTAATTCATGCTGATTTCCTCGGCGAAAAATCGAATTAACGCTCTAATCATCCGCGTTGCGCTATTCATTATTCGTCATGATCATCACTACTATTATTTTATTTAGCGCTATGGCTACTTTACTATTAAAACGAGCGATTGTAAATTACTGTGACCATTAAAAACAATATTAACAAGTAAATACCTGTAATCAACGTTATTTCGGTTTTATTTTTATCTCTGCGATATCCTGGAGTCCTTCACTTGATTCGCGTATTTTTCCAATCACTTCTAATTATATATTTTTATTTGATTTAATAAAAATATTTTATTTTATTGCTGTTACTGTATGTATAGACTATCAGACTATTAATGAATTCGCTTGAGACTAAAAAGTAAGCATAATTGCGAGTCTTTTGAAGTTTATCAGTTGCAGCAGACTGTACTTTTTATATGGAATTTCAAAACGGAAAATCCACTTACCAGAGAAGCACTTCGTTGCTCAAGTTTTTGTAAAATTTGGTCGTTTTCGTCGCCAATGCTGTCTGCTGAGTAAAATATCGCACTTTGCTTAGATGCCCTGGAATGAAATACGAGTATTCGTAATGAAGTAAATAATGCTGTATAGTTATAATAAAATAATATTGGGAAAGAAGTAGGGAACATGTAACACAGCAATCTATTTAGTTTCCGCATATGTAAAGTCAAACTATTATGCGACAACACAAATAAGATGTATGAAATTGGCCATGCTTTTACGTGAAAAAATAGCTTATTTGACGAATCGTCATTTAAAGGCATGCATTAATACCTGAGTGCCTTCTCATTCCTATTGAATAAATATTGACTGGCGAATTCGGTCATCATTTCTGCTGCATTGTGGCAGCTTGTCAATTCCTCCTTTCTCCTTTCTCATTCTTTCTTTCCTTAGCTATTGCTGCGTTCGGCTTACTGATTATTTGAAAAACGTTCAGCTTCCTTGCGAACATTTATTTCATTGCCTCTGAACCCTAAAATGATAATTTCAGAACGCCACGCATAAATAAGACAATATTAGATGAATATATATTTCTTTTTCAAGGAAATAGTTTCACGTGAATTGGCAAAAGTTTTCATGGTCATTTTTAGAAGTGGCATATGTCTCGAAATATTATTTACGCGTAATCATTGAAAAATAAGAATAATAAAAATGCGAAGTCAACTAAAAGTGCTGCGAAAAAAGTGTAACTCCGCTTGTGAAAGAATAGATGACAAATGAACGCGTAACATACGGAAGGCGATCTAATCGAGGTATATAAGCTGTTCTCAACCGAATATCCGGGTTGCGCGCCGAAAATGATATTTTCATTTACTAGAGTTGCAGGGCGTTGGTGAGATCTACTGCGCGCGACGCTGATCGATGAGATTGGACGTTGACAGCAAGAAGAACGTACAAGAACGTTTGGAGTAAGCGTCGAGCAATAAAAGAGATATCTGCGCACGCGAGTGACGTAGCGTTGTAGATGAGCGGATCGAAGCGGGAAAAGGATTGTCCGATGGGTACGGCGAGAAGGCTCGGTGGTTCGCTTGGCGCTGCAGTCCGATGGCGGAGGCGCTAGCGAGCGGAGCCGGGCTGCGGCCTGCCGGCGCTGGCACACGCGCGTGCTCGTATGATTTAGGGGCTTTCATCGGCCATAAGTCGCTGCCGCTCGCCATTATAGACGCGACTGGCGACCGGCGCGTCTATAACGGCCTCGGATAGCGGGCATAAATCCTCGCTGCGCACACGCACGGAGGCCGGCCGAAGTGTGGCGCGTTGCGCCCACTTATTAGATCCCTCATCAGAGCCGCGAGGCTCCGAGGTGATAGATGATTCGCTTGCAAATTCGCGCGATGCATAGACGCAGAGCCACCAACCGCATTTCAGACAGCGCGGCGCGCGTTTAATATGCACGCCGCGGCGAAAGCCTCGCCGCCACTTGGTTCTCTCTCTTTCAGTGGCTGGCGGCGCCGAGCAAACATGCGATGATGCGAGCTACGACGCAGAGACGCCTCTGCTCTGGCTCGTAGCGCGCGCCATTGTTGCGGCTTTTCAGCGCAGCCCTTAATCCGCAATATGTGCTCTGGCGCGCTTTCGAAGGCAAATCTATGTGTCCTGTCCGCGTAGCCAACTCATCACACAGCGCCAGAGAGCGCGGCATCTTATTCGCGGGGTGCAACGGGGAACGTCCGCTCGCTCGTCAACGAAGGCTGCCTCTCTGATTTTGCGCGGGAGCAACGGCACACGCAACGGCGCAGGGCCAATTAGCGCCAGTCGGAACGACGAGCGGTGCCTCCGAGGCGCGGAGAAAGCGACGAGTGCCAGGCGCGCGGTGGGCCGCACCTACGCGTCGAAACGCGCGTCATCGCCGATTCGCCGGCGCTCCCCGTCTCTCTGGGCGCACGCACCGCGAGAGCCCTTTGCCGGTGGCAATCGGTCGATTCGACGTCCAACGGCTATTTGCGCGGCGCTCGCGTTCGCAGCACTCATTGCTGTTGCCCACCGTCCGTCGTCGACAGACGAGCATGGAATTTGGCTTTCGTTCGTCAGGGCTTCAATCCACTAAGCAGTCATTATCTCATTATTGGCATCCGATTAGCGCGGACCTAGAAACTTGCTCTGCCCACTCCAAGCGCGACTCGACACCATCCGCGCTCTCCTTCTTCCCCAATACGCCAGCTATTGATTATTCGCGCGATCACTCGCTCTTCCACGTCTTTGGCCCCTTTCTTGTTTTTCTCATTTTGATACTTCAAAGCGCTCCCGTAACGCTGACTAATGAACCGGCTAGATATTCCTCGCTTCACCTTCATTTCCGACATTACCGAATGCGCCTCAACATTTCAAATGACGAATTGGATCAACCGCTCACCCCTCCTACAAGTCGATCAGTCGGGCTTCCTGCATTTTCTCTCGTATTGGCAGCTGTCGAAAAAAAAAAAAAATTGAATTCTGCGTTTGTCGCACGAAAAATAAAGGCAAAGGAGACGAGAGGCGAAATGCAGAACGCAGAAAAATAGAGAGGAGGGGGAGAAGGGCCGACAAGCGAGCAGGTAGAACGACAGAGAGGCAGATAGGCAGAGGCCTCGGTGCAATGAAACAAAATGGATAGATGAAGAATAGCTGTCTTTATTCGTATTCTGCATTTGAATGTGCGCGCCGAATATCCAAGTGTTGCTTCAAATGAGGCGGCTCTTTCGCCATTTTCGACACTGATTAAACGAACCTGCCAATGATATGCCTCCAATTTGTGCCCTATATTTTTCTTCTTCCAATATCCTCATTTCTTTCTTCCGCCCTCTATCGATAACCCACTCGATCGTCCTGTCAATAGCGTTTGAAAATCGAAATGCTGTATCGAGAACCATTACTTGGAAAAGAAATGCAGGAGTGAACACTGATAATTGACTGTCAATTGAATAGTTAGTGTTGAGTGAATAACGACCAGGAATACGAGAAAGCCAATGAATATGCATGCCATTCGAGGACTCGAGGGAACGCAGGAGGAAAGTTTGGATAAACTCAGTTGGCAAGTAAAGCGCGTCGGAAGACGTGCTCTATCTCGCAAGTTGTGAGACGCGGCTAACAGATTTCGTCGCGTAAAGCGTTAGAGAATTATCTAAGAATCCAAAGTTTGATGCGTATGAAATTACCAACATCTGGAAAATTGGCTTCCCAGATTGGCAGGCTAGTCTCCTTCTAGCGGAGACAAATGTTGCTCTCCGAGAGTTTTGTCATCACTTACGAACGAGAAATTCGTAATGAGGTTCCTCGGCAAAGTCCCATTGATCTGCTTGATTGTGCGAAACGGAAAGTTTTTCTCGGTCAAAATGATTAGCTGCAGTGCGTGCGAGGCGCGTTGACTTTGCGCACGGGGGAAGAGGCAAAATATCGATTGGCTGTGTGAATAGGCGAAATGAAAAGGCTGCTTGACTGATGAGGCAAAAAAGTGCTGGCTGAAATGGGCTTAGCCGTGCGAAAGACGAAGCCGAGCGCAGTTTATTATACCGACGGCAGTCAGCTAGCGCGCGCGGGATATCCGCAGAAGAGTGCCTGCGGGATGGCCCGGGCCGCTCTATAGCTCCTCTCTTCCGCCTCCCGAGATAAATTTTCGCCTCTCCGCTCTGCCCTGTGCTTCTGTCGCGGCTTTTCTCTCGGCCTCGTGCGCGTACTTTTTCCATTCTACCACCCCACCGAACGGACGGAAATTCCGATTATTCCATCGTCGCGCTGATTTACTCGTGGCAAATGTCGGCCAATCTCGCCGCAGTGACCCGCACGACAATCCTCCCTAATAGGCCGCGATAGCTGCAATAACATCGACTCTTGCTGATCAATCGTCCAACTGTTCGGCCGTTAGGCTTCGAGCAGCCACTTAGGCTCCAGAAAAACACCGAGAGTCGGCGTGACGGGGCTGAATGACGCAGAATGACTCTGCAAAGCCGTCTTTCTTTGATACAATTCGCGAGCCATCTGCCAAGCACGTTCCCAATGAACGACGGCAAATTGAATCGCAAAGAAATTCGCCCGGAAAATTGAAGTTGCCAAGAATAGCACCGACAAACTTGCCGCAAACGTCAAGTCTGATGATCAGCGTGACGTCGCTCGGACATAAAGAACAAGCGCGTAACGAGCGTGGTTTATGCGGTTTATGTATCCCAGATATCAATAAGCTGCGTCAGCTCGGCAAAATCATGATCTTTTAATAGCCACGTCCGGCACAAGCTCTTTCTTTCCGAAATCAAGTCTACCGGAGCGGCGTATAAGACACTTTCACGAAGACAAAAAATTAGCCTCTGACGAAAAGGCAGCCGACGAAGAGAGAAAGAGAGAAAGAGAGGGAGAGGGAGAGGCAGAGCTAGGCGCAGCACAAGGGCGCGGGGCTCGATCGGCAGGCTCGACGATCTCCTCCCGGCTCGCGAACGCCCGGAAGATCGCTGTGCACGCCTGCTGCGCGCCGCAAATTATTTATTGCTCGCGCGCGCTGCATTGCGGACTCATCGATCGGCAAAAGTACTATTCGTTACGATCATTTTAATCGCAGCTTTACAGCCACAACTCCAACCTCTCGAGTGCGCTCGTTCGAGCGGCAACAAGACTTAAACGGACTCGTAAACGGACTCTTGCACGCCAGATTTAACAGAAGCGACAACTGCCAAGGCAAAACTACCGACTCCGCTGCCCCTGTATATTGCTGTGTATTGCCGGCTCAGTCGGGAAGACGCGAAAGAGGATTGCCCAATTTTCGCTATTCGCCGATGTGAACCGCAGTGTTCCGAGATGCAGAGGCAGTCTTTCTACATGATTCGAGGATGGGGACGACTCGCACGGGAGTTTCCGTCCTCGCGGAGGAAAGAACAAAGCGCGCCGCGAGTTGCTCGAAAAACGCGCGAGAACCGTTGACCAGCTCGCATTGCATTACGGTCGTGCTGCTCGCAAGCCGCGGTCGCACATTTCTTCCACTCGATCGGCGTGATTGCGCCTGCAATTGGAAATCGCTGATTTGCCGCCAAAGCACCAATGTGACGAGTCACGGGGCAGTGAAAAGGAAGAGAGGATTACGCACCGGGGAACGGAGCGAAGACTCGGTGAAACGAAAGCACGACTGGCGCTTCTGCTGGTTCCCACGGAAGTCAGCGGCCGCGGCGCTGCTCATTCCGCATATGCCTTCACATAAGTCACGACTCGCGAAGCAGCGCTCCCTCCCCCCTCCCCCGCCCTCGAGCTCGCCAGCGGAAGTCGCAGCGAGTAACCAGCTCGCAGTGCTTGGCTGTCTACGTATATACACCTTGATACACCTCTCTATTTCGAGACTTCCTTCCCGGTATAATTATCGACGGGCTCTCGCTTCTCGTCTTTCCGGCCGGGAGTGCGTTCTGATTGCCAGCTAGTATTTTGAGAAACAAGTGTTCAGCCGGACATATTTGTCAGGGCAATGGGTTGCAGACGAAAAGTAATAAACATCCTGACGATCGCTCGCTGATGGCTGCCACAAGTTCAGCTGCACTTTTCATTGGTCCATGGCATTGTCACATGGGACTCGCGTACGTCTCCGTTCGTATCGATTTGAGTGCGCGGCATTCTTTCTGGCGCAGCAGCTGCCGACAGGTGTGCAGTAGGCATGTAATTCATTCGACAATAGCCCTCGACTGTTCTACGCTTCTGTTGTTCCTTTTGAGGGCATTAAAACTTCCGGGCTATGTTTCATTAAAAGTTCTGCGCCGGCCAGGGGTACAGTTAGCAAAACCAATTGTTACACTTTTCAAAACTTTATTATCAATTCCTGCACCGATTTACACTTGGATCAAAAGTTACGATGCGGCAGGCTCGCATTATGTACGTATACTTACACGTACACTTTTGCGGTGCGTTACAACATACAAAATTACATTTATGATTGCGACATATATCATATAAAACCATTTGAATAGTATAATTAATCCGTCAATATTATCTCTTAATCTGTATTCAGACTGCGAATCTCATCGAGACATCCAAATTGCCGCGGTTGTGCGACAACCCTTCGGCAGCGCTGATATCTTCTAGCGTCATCTTCTTTGTTTTGCAGCCACAGCCATAGCCGTGTCCTCGATTCAATCATTAAGGTTAGGCACACTTTACGAGTTAGACGACAATACAATAAGCCGAGCAATAGCTACGTCAGTCTGGCCGCCTTGAACGCATCACTGAGCAGCGTACGGCGGCATGTTAAGGCACACAAAGCTCACTTTCCATTGCTTAAGATGAGGGTACGTGATTATACAATGAACACTGGAGCGTCCGATTGACGCTCGACTGAACTTTTACAAAGACTCAACGTCGAGAAGACGCGTGAATATTTGTTCACTTCTGTTCATGTGGGCATAGTTCAGACAGCTACAAAATGTATGAACGTATAAACATTTGGGCGAAATATCCAAAGATATAATTATTTGCACTGCAAGTTGTCGAAATCGTTGTCGAGGGTTCGCACAGAAAACGCAATGATCATAGGCACGGTGAGCACGACGACGGGAGCCGGCATCGGAACTTCAAAGACATTTTCTCTTTTGATCCGACGGCTGCCGCGGCTGCTCGGCGTTCATCAAGATACAAGTGGAGCGATTAGGTTAATGCGTATCCGACGAGGAGGGGAACGAGGGAGCAACTGCGATCACGGGAGCAGCAGCATTCCGCCACGCAAGCCGCCAATCTCTTCCGCGTGCCGAGAAGACGGCGGCAGCTAAGGACCGGCCCCGCAGCCGGCGCCGCGCGACGCCGCAAGGAGCGCGCGCTCGGGCCCACGGAGCGCGCGCCCGTCCACGAAGTCGGCCACGTGGTCGGCGTGGCGCGCGAGCAGCCACATGCGCAGGCCCTCGGCCTCCTCCCTGTCGGCCTGCTCGCGCCGCAGCTCCTCCTCGAAGGCCCGGCGCCGACCGGCCAGCTCGTCCGCGCGCACCGCGCGCCGCTCCTCCATCAGGCGCTCGAGGTCCGCGCGATACTCGGCGCAGCGCCGGCGCCGGGCCTGCTCCGACAGGCGCGCCAGCTGCTCGGAGCGCGCCAGCCGGGCCATCACGTCCTCGGCGAAGCGGCGCTCGCGCTCGGCGAAGCGCCGCCGGCACTCCTCCTCGTGGCGCCGCTGCTCGTCCAGCGCCTCGGCGAGCAGCCGCGCCTCGCGGCGGCGCTCCCGGCGGCGCAGCTCCGCGTCGCGCGCCTCGGCGCGGGCCTCGAGGCGCGCCTCCGCGGCCAGCAGCTCGCCGAGCAGCCGCTCGCGCTGCGCGCGCTCGGCCTCGCGCTCGAGCAGCAGCGCGGCCGCGCGCTGGGCCGCGCGCTCGCGCCGCTCGCGCGCCTCCTCGCGCTCGCTTTCGGCGCGCTCGAGCCGGGCCGCGAGCTGCTGCGCGTGGCGCCGCTCGGCGGCGGCCAGCCGGGCCTCGAGCTCGCGCAGGCGCTCCTCGGCCGCCTCGCGCAGCTCGCGCTGCAGAAGCCGCTCGAGGCCCAGCTGCTCGGCGAGCTCGCGCCGCTCGCGGCGCTCGGCTGCCCGCTCCGCGCGCTCGTGCAGGCGGTCGGCCGCGGCGAGCGCCTGGCGTTCGCGGCGCTCCTCGCGCTCGAGCTCGCGCTGCGCCTCGCGCTGCTGCGCCAGCTGGCGCTCGAGCGCCGCCCTGAGCTCGGCAGCGCTGCGCTCGCGCTGCGCGCGCTCCAGGCGCCGGCGCTCCGCGTGCTCGGCGTCGCGCTCCTGGGCCCGCGCCGCCTCGGCCGCGCGCGCCTGCAGCTGCTCGGTCAGCTGGCTCGCGCGGCGCTCGGCCACTTGCGCCTGCAGCGCCTTCAGGGTGTAGGCCTTCTTGATCTGGTCCTGCAGCTTCCGCAGCTCCTCGTCCTTGGTCGAGCACACGTTGGCGGCGCCGTGCAGCCTGCTGCCGTCCAGTCTTCGTGGGCCGCTAGCCTCGCTGCGCGTTCCCGTTGACGCTAATTCCGTAGCCTCCATTGCTCGCCCCTCTGCACTGAAAACCATATTTTCTCATGTGCCAGTCACTGCCTTCTCATTTTACATCTCGTTATTTTTCTCAACCTATTTCAACACCAAGTCTTTTCGCGCTTCTTTCACTTTGACTTGGACAAATATAGAGAGCACACGGTCGAAGCTTCAATTTAGAACTTGAACATTGAATAGAACAAACTGCTATTAACCTACATCAAAGTTTCGATCAAACGGGTATTTAATAGTCATGATTATCATACGCTGGATTTTTTATTCCCGTTTACAGGCTATCACTTTAAAAAATCATTCGCAGCGCAGATATATTGGAACGAACTACTTTGACCTGCAAAGTAATCTTTCATGAATATGAATACCAATTCTCGTATCTCTAAAGCTTTCGATCAAGCCGTCTTTTTCCCTCCTTCGGCAATAACGGGAATATCACTTTCGTGTGTATCCACAAATTGATATTTCACAATCAACTAATACAATATTTTATCATTTATTATTGATTATTCATATTATCAGACCTTCAACATCTTTGCATTCGTTCGCAAATTAAACACTCTGTAATAGCACCATTTTCGTGATCAAAAAACGCAATCTGCAAGATTATTACAATAATAAGAGCATTGTTTGGAAACTACTGCATGTTAAAAATTTAATGAAACTTGTGAGCGAATTCGCTACATGTAATATAAGGAGAATATTCCAGAAGCAAACATAGTTAATATGTTTGATCATGTGTTTCCGATAATCTCCGATAGTCCAAGATAATCTGGTATAACCCTACTGATAAATAAAGTATACTTTTAAAAGGTCTCTTCTTATATAAAATAGTTGTCAAATACAAAATATCTATCGCATCTACATATTCCATTAAGAAACTCGATTAACTATTAAACTACACGTACCGCTTAATTTAGTCCTCGTTAAATAGAGTCTGTAAATTAGATTCCTATTCTTAAAAAAAATAATGAGTCACCGATATCCAGCGTTGTAATTGGTTGATGCAAAAATAAGAGCGCGAAAGGTTTAATTTTCCTATACTTTGAAATAACTGTATTATATACGTACAAGTGAAAGATTTATATTTCAGCAGTCAATTCAACTTATGAATAATTAACATAGATGATTATCTATAAAAATAGATATATGCCGTTAATATATCGTTTAAAATAACTGTTCAAATTATGTTGGAATAATTAGTACGAATCGATAATTCGATTATCATGTATAAAATTAATAGTGTAGTCTTAAAATTTGATCGAAAGAGAGAAAAAGTGAGTAGAATAAAATGAAATAAATGAGATTTTTATTTTTTTACATTGTAAAGTGATAGGTATGAAGGAAACGGAAACTAATTATCAGGATATTAAGTTTGAAAAACGGGTGCTTTCATCGAGACAATGAAAGAACATACCATGTTACTGAGGCCTTAGAAAACCATTGCTATTGAGTGAAGTTATAATTGTATGATACAAATAATGTAATGAACAGCAGAAAATAACGAAAGAGTGCGCTAAATTACGCTAATTAAGCAAATAGCTGATGAAAAAACTTTTCATAAGCAAATTTACAAGTTTTCTTTAATTTATTCACATATTATGAGCACGTACAATTTTTAATTTAAATCCTAGGAATTTTATAAACGTTTTACAGAGATACTCGCGAACACCCTCAAACTCACATTTTTCTAAATAACCGAGTAATATACATGTAAATTTCTTAGGATCCTCGATTGTACGACGGCAGGATAGAAAGGCATGAATCGCTCGGCAGTAATTTTAAGGTTCGAGTGTCTTTGCAAATTGTTTGAAGAATTTATTCATTAAATTGTCGCAAAGTCTCAACTATCAGGATATTTAAAAGCAAACAAATATTGTAAGCTATAAAACGCATGATGTACCACTGCTATTTTGTCTGTGAAAACGAAGTCATCATTCATCTAAAGATGTCCGTAAAGCGGAAATTCAAAATGTATCCATTAGCTTGCTGAATTGTGCGTGTGAAGTACCGGTTATAAAGCTTTGGCTTTCAACATACCTACGAGTATGAAGGGTGCAGCTGAATTGGCAGGAGTGAGTCAAAAATTGCGAGAACTCGCTTGGTAGGGTGCGAATGTATGTAGGCGGCCTTCAGCTAATATGAGAACAGCTTCACTCTATAGATGCACAGCGTAAACAAACACAAGCGTAGCGGGAAGGCAATTGGTCCGGTAAAAAACAAGCGAGCGCGATCGAAACAAGCCAAGTTCGACTGTACATAGAGCATAAATAGAGACGGAGAAACGACCGTTGGGAACTGGCAGTGCGGCAGCCCAAGTGCAACTAGCTAGCCTTGGCGCAGTGTGAGAGCACGGCCGTTGGCGGTCCCGACGGCGGCGTTGCCGCTGTCCGTAATGCCTGACAGTTGGGGGAAATTTACCGCTGACCCTTCAAATAACAGCCACCTATTGGCTCCTTTCGGGACCAATCAAATAAGGCCCCGCGCTATTTGAAGAAATAGCCAAACGAGCCGATCGATCTTAATCATTCGTAATTCATCCGTTCCAAAGTTACGTACTCGAACGCAATGCTACGTCAAATATTATGACTAGTTTTTCCAGCAAAAATCAACATGTCAGCTATGAAAACTTATTCTTCCGTCTTTTTCAATTGCTTCTTCTCAAGTTCACAAAATAATTAACAAGAAACTCATTTATCATTGAAATATAGCAAAAGTACAGAAATCTCACTACTTATCTGCCTTAAATGCGAAGATAAGTTTAGCTGCCATCCTTTACAGTGCATCACCAATCCCCTAATCTCCTTTATACAAAAGTCATGACCGGATGTTATGAAACCAAGATAAACGCTATCTGATTGGCTCGTGCAGTGCGCATGTTTCTATTTGAATCTAACCTAATCTAATTTAATCATAATTATGCTAATTTTTGTTTTTGTTTAAATATTAATATATGATATCGTTTTAATATCTTCAATTAAAATTATTTGCATATACACAAATTATATTTTATTTAAAAAATCAATTTTTTTATTAATAACTTTTGAGAAAAGTGCTACTTCCTCCAATCTTATTATTGTTAGAAAGCAGAAGATTGAAAAGCTATACACACCTCTACATTGATTGTAATCTCTAACAAAAGTCCTGACCATTGTTAGAAAGCCAAAGGTGTTGTTCGTTTTTATTAAATGGAGTTGACGTATCTTTTATCGTATAACTTTATATTTTGTAAAGACGTATTTCCTTTCACTTTCAAACAGAAATAATTTCCAGTTAAATTAGCCTTTACGATCATAATTAATAAAGTGCAAGGTCAAACTTTTGACAAAGTTAGTCTAGATCTACGAAAAAAATGTTTTTAATCACAAACAGCCTTATATAGCCATGTCTCAAATTTGATCTTGGGATATCCTCATAATTTATCTTGGTGATTATCAAAGAGAAAATACAAGTGTCAAAAATTATGTTTATAAAAAGCTGTATTCATGATTATTAAATTTTTGAAATTTATTCTGTTAATTATTTTACAAAGATAAAAATTCTTTCACTAACAAAATATTTCAGAACATCAATTAAATAATCAATCAATAATTATTAATCGTGTTTAATTTTATTAACGTGCTTATGGACAACAAGCATGTTGGTTAATGCGCGCGAAGCGCGCTGTTCAAATTTTAGTATTAATAAAAAGATCATCTATAAATTATGTTTTACAAAATTTGAAAAAAATGTTCTAAAACGTACAGACAACGTGTATGCTCCGAAAAAATGAGTGGAGAGAAGTGAGCTATCACCTTTCGCTCACATCGTAGTAAGTTTTAATATATCATATTCAGAGACTCCAAGTTTCCAAACATTTCCAGCGCTAAGAGGCTTTCTACATTAGGAGACGTCAAACATGTATCTAGATTATCAAGATAAAAAACAAATTGTTTGTTTAACATCTAGATGTGTCCATGATTACGTAGGATGCGAGCAGTGATAAAAAATATAGATATACTATATTAAATATTGTCAGTACAGTAATATATCATTTGTCTATCTTTTTAACCATGGTAAATGTTTGATGGCCGAGGTCTAATGTCTCGTTATATAGAAAGTTCCTAACTAAAATATATATGGTAAACGAGAAAAATTGGCGAGTCTTTCAGTCAGTGGTTTGTTTAAACAAAACATAGTTGGTACTTAAATAAATTAACATTGACAAATGTTACAGTCTAGATTATGAATAATCAATTTTGAAACATTCTATCGAGCGCTTTTATTATAAAAAAATAAAGGATTTTTGTGAAATTCTATGCGATGCATTATTCAACATAGACTATGAAAGGTTTTCATACATAAATCTATATAATAATTACAAACTTTTAAATATCCTTTCATGGACTACAGTTAATTGATTATAATAACCTTCTTCTATGATAAATACTTTATTAGTAAAGCTTTATTCATAAATTTATTAATGTTGGAGTGACAATTGTTCGGTTATGACGTACGTACGCTAATACGTTGTTTTCGACGTAAATATATAAACACTAGTGACAGTTTAAAACCATCCTTGATTTTTTAATTTTTTTGGTGAAACCGTTGGATAGAACACTCTAAAAATGCTTAGTCGTAATCTAGCCTATAATCTTTATCAACTATTAACATTTTCAAGTACCAGATATGTTTCGTTTAGGTAAGCCATATTGGAGGGAAGACGTGACAAATTTTCCCTTTTTACTGTATGTTTTAGTTAGTTTTAGTTAGTTTTAGTTAGCTATAGAATTGTAGGGGGAGTCTTAAGCACCGAAGATTTACTTTTTATATGCCGTATGTACTTTGGAATAGAGAATTCTCAATACAAACAACCAAGAAAAATATAATACTAATAATGTTATTTTGCTTAGCTGCTATTGAGTTACTCAAACAAATATTCAAAACCATTATTTGATATTACTGTAAGGTTATTCAAATAAATGGATTTTCTTTAAATAAAAAACCAACCACCGAGACAAGACTCACCCATTTCAGTATTATTTTCGTAGAGTTGGGTTAACGATTCGTATCGTCGAAGCGCTTTGGAAATGTTGTTGCGCGACTATTCTTTCCAGAAAATACAAATTTGTATAGCATAACAGAGACTATATAGTAACATGGAATGATAATTATAACATTTTGTTAGACAGCATAATAGAAACAATGATTTGATGAAGATAGATATTCTATCTGTTGTGAAATTATTACTTTGCGCAATTTTAGTGATTGCGATAAATGTAAAAAATTAAGGATATGCAGTTTGTACAAAAACGTTTACGCAAACAAGGCTACCTGTTTGGATACCCGTAAGTGGATCAGTGCAATTTACGTGGAAAATAAATTTAGGATAATTTTGCCGCAGTATAAAAAGTATAATCTTGCGCGTTGTTTTTCATACTCTACATAATCTGTTGCAAAAGAAGCTTTTAGGGAAAAAGCTATTAATTTTGTTATATTACTTTTATCATTTACGAGCGAGCGTAACGAGTAACTTACTTTAAATCCTACTGCTTAGCTGATGTGTTTTCGATCGATATCTACACTGAATTCATGATACGTTACATATAAAAATATTGGAAATAGAATTTGGATGATCGCTTGGTGGACTTGATAAAATATTGCGCTTTACACTCAATTGATGCCAATGGAGTTTCTTTTTCTTTGATAATCAATGAGACGTAAGCTACTCAGGCCATCTTCTTTGCTCCCTAAAAAAGCGCGTCGAAATCATAAAATTGATGGGTATCGTTGTTTTCACTGGAAAAAAGTCTCCGCTGATAAATGACCAATTAATGGCGATTGAGCGGAAAATCTTGGGCAAAACAGTCGATGAACGTGGAGCGCGTTAAAGATGGAAAACTTGAAGTTGGTCAATGCGTACACAATCTAGAAAGAAGAGCCGAAGCTGCATAAGGTCGAAGAGGTCGAAGGTTGCAAATGCGAGAGAGCGAGCAGTTAGGTTAATCAGCGCGCGAAATATCTTGATAGTGCAAGTCGCGCTCGAGTTGGCCTCGCTAACAAAGTTTGTTTGCACGGGAGTTTAGAGGATCTCGGAATATGCTGGGCGCGACAACGTCGTCGAGGGGGGGGCCGGGGAAAAGGCTCGAGGACGAGTCCGACGAGAGCGAGCACTCGAGCGGCGAGAGGGAGAGAGCAAAAGGCGTGGGCGGCGAGGAGGGCGCTTGCGCGACTCGACAGGTGGCTCCGTGCAGCGAGCCGCGCGTGCACTGGCACCGCAGACTGGCAGCGCGGGAGGGCGGTCGCGGATGGCTGGCGGGGGTGGCGGGGGCGGCGGGGGCGGCGGGGACCGGAGAGTCGCGGAGCCGAGAGGGAGACACAGCCGCGGCTCGACTGACTCGTCGCTCGAGGAGCCGCTCGGGGGCGGGGGAGGGGGCGCTAGGCACAGCTAGACGACTAGAGAGGGGCCGCGATACGGCTGGCGAGCGCGCGAGCTTTCCAGGCGCAAGCCCTGCCAGCAGCCAGCGACGAGCGAGCGAGCGAGTCCCCTGGACGCAGGCAGGCAGCCAGCGACGCGCACCTACCCCCGATGCCATCCGCTCTCTCAGTGTCAGCGCTTCCGCCGTTGCGTTCGCGTGTGCCGCCGCTGCTCCGTGCTCGCGAGCGCGCTGTCCCTACCCGCCCGCTCCTCCGAGAGCGCCGCCGCCGTCGCCGCCGCCGCCGCCGCCGCCGCCGCCGCTCGCTCTGCTCCTCTCGAGGCCAATGAGGCGAGCCCCTGCCTGCGCAACACCTGCTCAGCGTTCGCCAGCATTCGCCTCTTCGCTGCCGCGTGCTGCTCGCCCGCTGCTCCCGGGCTAGCGGGCCTCCTCGTGCCCCGTCGGACCGACCACGGACGGCGCCAGCCATTGCTCCGATCGCCCCGGAACCGTAGCCACTCGGGACCAAATCAGCACTTGGCACATGACGTCCTCGTTTTCTCTGCCCTTTTCTCTCTTGCGCTTTGCCAATCCTTCGGCCCAGCAGTGCACGCCTCTCCCTGTGCGTTTCAGTGATTCGGTTATTGCTTTGTGTGCTACACGAGCGGCAACTCCAGTCCACTGTCTCTCGGCAAAAGTAAGTGCATCAATCTTCGCGTCAGCGACCTTCCGACAGGGGCGACTTTTCTGTCGTCGACTGCTTTCAGAGCATCCAGGCGCTTGGAACGTGAAATCGGTACTAGCAAGGCCGGTTTTGTTCGTCGTCCACGAGTAGTCCAATCAAACGCAGCTCAGAGCGCAACGAATAGATCAAATTTCGCGATCTTGCGAAGGCAAGCCTAAAGTACTTACAAACCCTCTAGAGCTTCACACGTCGCTTCTAATCACAATGTTTAAGAATTCGCTACTTTTTTCTAGGACGTTTCGCATGGACAGAGAATACACACAATTCGCGACGAAATACCGCAAAAGAACATATTATTCGTTGAGTTTGTTTTGTCGGGCTTCCTCGACCCACTTTTCTTTCTTCGATTGTCTAAGCGAAACGCCATATATTTGTAACGACAGCGTTACAAGTTCGCGGAACCGAGTCATTCCTACCAGCATAATTACGATCTGCTCCTGCATATCTATCCTATTCCACCTTTGTTTCTATTCCCCGTACGATTTAACGCGCGCATACCTATTTCAATTTTTTTCTTTTTTCTCTACTTTTTCTCTCCGATTTTCTGTACAAAATAGCCCAGCTCTAGATAAGTGTAATTGCATAAATATTTAAATTACTGCGGTGCCTTGAAAAGCATCCGACATTCATCGATTCAATCTCGTGCTTGAACGCTTTTTTACTACTTATACTTCGCTAGCGTTTACGTGAGCAATATTGTCGTTCGATAAAACCGTGTAAGCTGCTTTATTGCTCATTGTTCGCTTAAAAGCTTTTTATTTTTGTTGTACAACGAAAATATATTTTTATCAAATTTATGTGCTACGCGGAAACCATCAACTATGGTTTAAACCGTCCAACTTCGTAATATACAGTAAGAGCATGATTCTCAGATGTTTTACGTCGTGATCGTTAACTATTAAAGTCGAAAAATAAATTTTATATAAATGTCAAACCTTTACTCGATCAAAAGTGCATCTACATTATACATTCATCAGGAAAAAAAGATATTCTGGACACTGTCTCTTCATTATTCTTAACAGGATTAAGAATATTTAGAATTGAGTACAAAAATGTATCCTCAAATAAATATTATTGGTTCTTTTATCAATTTCTTAAATTTTTAACGAGCTGAATAAACGCTCAATCATTTTTCAAAAGATTCTTACATTTCTTTCCAAAAATATTACATAACTGTAGATATAGCCAAATTAAATGTATAGATAGAACATTATAGGAAACGGTTGACCGTGGCTCAAGCATACATTTAAAGCAATATATTTCATCGTGCTGGCGAAGGCTTTATTTTGAAAATAAATTGGTTAAAACGTCTCGGTGTGACGCGGATCGCAAGATATTGTTTATTCACTCTGCGCGAGCCGTCGGCTGTGAGTGAGAGGAAGCATCATTGAATATTCATATAGGTATACATGAAAATCAAAGAGGATCGATAGAATGTGAGTGCCCAAGGAATCCCGCAACGATTTTGTCATTCTTACCAATTTTCTGTTAACTATCATAGCGTCCAACTATTTCCTTGTTTGCTTTCGTTGATCAATTCAACGTGTCTCCCGATGCTATGTATGTTTCATGCAGAAAACAATGCAACTGATAATCATTTCTATCACTTGCTTTGGAAATTCTATTTTGAGCTTCAACCTTGCAAATAATATACCTCGCTCGAAAGCGATAAGAATTTTTCCGATATATTACTTTTCCATTGGTAGTCTAGTGAACAATGTCGTAAAAACTTTTCTCACGTTAATTGTTAACAGTTGATTTTGCACACTTATCATTTCCACTATACTGTTTTTTTAATTAAAAGATAAAATCTGCTTTTACCAGTGATACCGTTGCGATTTATACAGGTTCTGATATTGATCAAGACTAAAGTGTCTCTAATGATAATCGAGGGAAAAATATCCAAGTTTTAAGTTTTACATAATTAATACGACGAAATCTATTGTCCAGCCCAAGGAAAAACATATATTTCATCGAAAAAGTCGCTTGATGAAATAATTTCTAAGCTTCAACATGTCGGCAAAATTTTATCTCTTCGCATCGTCATAGCAGTAGACTTTCTGACAACTTTCTCTTGGCTTGAGATCAGCTTGGGATACGAAAATCTTTTCCTAAAAATACTCTTTTATATCTTACTTACAATTTTGTTAATTCAATGATTATTATTTCATTGATTACAAATTAATTTAAATTAAATAATTTCGAAAATTCTTTTTATTCATTAAAGCATGAATGTTTTCTATCGATCAAACAAGAATACTCTTAAACGTGCCGCTGAGAAATTTCCACTGGTTTTCCTTCAAGATGAAGAGAAATTTCGTCTTAGTATTGTCGTACTTTCTTTCAACGTGACCGAAATGACAAGTTTTTGGATATTAACTGACTTTCTTAATTGCTTTGTTATTATTCTATAAAATCCAGAATAAATTCAAATTTAAAGGTAAAAAATCAACTAGGAAAAAACACAGTCAGCTCATGTTCCTAACGAAACTTTGTGTAAGTTAGTGCAATTATTGTTTGTCGCGTAAAAAATCGTCTTTTGATGATTAACTTAGTATGTATAGATTCTGAAGACTATTTTAGTAGTATACTGTAGAACTAACAAGAATGTGTAATAAAGTTAGTCCGAGTCATAAGAAGTTGATTCGTATTAATTGTCAATGTTGCTAACCATATATGCGTATTGTTGCGAATTTCATACAGATAAAAGGGTGAAATTGCGTAACTCGCCTAAATTATCGGTAACCGTGCAGTTAATTGGTCAATAAGGTATATGCACCAGTAAAGTCGCTTCTATATATGACTAACTGACGTATTTGCTTCAAATGATTCTGACATTGTTATATCGTTATGTTATACTCTAATGACGTAATGAAAAGTAATGGTCACCTTATTGTCAATTATTATTTGTTAATCAAGTTCGTTAAGTATGTTTTTAATGATATTGTAACTGAATAGTGTCGAAAATCTAAATGAGAAAATGAATTAAAAAGACTGACAATAATTTTATGAAAACTTGTTCGTGAATTTGGTGAAACGAACAAGCTATTGACATTTTTATGCATTGAATTTCATATACATATAAGTAACTTTGTAGTATCAAGTAGTTGAATTTGAAAGTAGTCGTTCTAAATCTCAACAGAAGAATCGTACAACAGATTTAATCACTGACGAATCGACAAGAGTCTCACATTATAACAGTAAACTAACAGCATGTAAATGTACATTGGTATGCCGTAAATCGATAAGTCGCTTCGGGTTCTTTGCATACGAGACTACGTAAATTACAGTATGCCACATTGTTCGTTCACACACATACGCGCGCGCGCGCGCACACCCACACACGCACCCACAAATGTATACGCGTCACACGAACTGCCGTCAGAAACAAATGAACAATACTCGAGTCTGTCTGAGTACTTAGTTTGTATATACTTATCGTTACTCGCATGTGCAATTTTTTGCTCAACTTTGTGCCATTTTATCAATTAACAGTCCCTTACAAAAGCAAATGTGCCAAATTAATACAACTACAGTTTGGTGATATTTATTTTAAGTTCATCATTACTAATCACATCCTGCAGCAACGACTTATAAATAAAAATGACTTTTAAAAAAACAAGGTCAATATTGCTAACAAAAATGACAGCAATCTTGTGTTTATTACTTTGAACAAAAAATTATGCATCTACTAAAATTTTAAAGCCCTTTATACGGCAACGATGCAAGCTTCGACCTCGTGAATATTGATACAATTTCCATGCCATTGAATTTTTACAATATTTGCATTTCAAAAATAAAGCATTTTGAAGGAAAATCCCGAACAAGTCCTTTTGGCATTTTTGCTAAGTAAGCGCATTCTACGCGAACATTAGAGTAACGCCCAAGACAAAGGATTTTGACGTCACGAAGTGTACAACAGTGCAATATGACATGCTGTAAGAAAATGATCTACTTGCTTACTACATAGCTTACATAATAGGCTCAACTTTATCTTGCATTCAAAGTAATTTAGCTTATACACATACATGTATAGGATCAGTAACAAAATAATTATGCAACTTGAACCCCGAAAAACGTTTTGCAACGTTACGTTAAGTAAGCCCTATTTTTTTTTAAAGTCGCTGAAAGTGTTTTAAATAGTTTATTTTTAGGTCAATTTTAAATTCGACAGAAGCAATCTTTCGCGGAAACGTAATTTCAACAGCGATCTGTTGTAGCATAGGTAAGAATAGAAAAGGTGGATGATTATCTCATTCTCGTTTTTCTTCGGTACATTTAAAAAAAATAGTGAACGCGTATTTTCTTCAAGACAAAAAAAGAGGTTTATTAGAAAACTGAAGCTGTAGCATTCGTAGATAAGTATTATTCCGTAAAAATCATTTCCATTTATAAAAGGAAAGATAGATAATAGTAAGAGATAGAGACACACGGCAAAATATATTAAGATACTGCAGATATCATATTGATCACAGTTAATGCGTATGATAATTTTTATCGAAAATATGCAAAAATATAAAAATTTCTTGACATTTCCGAAATAAATTTAATGGAGTATTCGAATAATACCTTTCAAAAAGTTTTCTCATAAGTGAGACCATAAATAATATATATATATATATATATATATATATATATATATATATATATATATATATATATAAAAATTTTTATTTGAAAATTGCACTGTTTCATCCAACAATATGATGTAAGCCAAACGCAAAAGACTTCAAAATGTTTGCAGGAATTTTGTTATACGGATCTACACGTGATATGGTAAACAAAAATTTATAGATGATTTGCACAATTTAAGTAATGTTATTATACTAAAAACTAAGGATTAGAAGATTAATATTCAATTGGCATTCGACATTTGAAAGATAATTTAATTTCTGATTTTTATCAGAGTATATATATGAATGCTTTTAATACGAATCAGCAACATTATTACT